CTGGCCTACATGTATGCAATCATGGAGAGAATATCTTCTAGTGGCAGTGTAACTAACTCTGGGTGGCTCTGCTGCGTGTCACGCTAGCCTCTCTGTCTTCTAGTGAAATGCTGTTCGGTGGTGGCCTGCTCCACTCCTATAGTTGGGTTCGGAGGGAGTGTTTGGGTCCCAACACAATCTCACCGCACTTCCTTAACATGTCATCCACTGTATGACCCTTATAAGGATCAGAGCCCTCAGTTCTTCAGCACCTCTCTCTACTTCAGAGAATATCCTGGATTTTCTTTCTTCCCATAAGGACCAGCATACCGCATCCCTCAGTCCTCTCCACATAGTCCTTCCCCTTTTCATATGCCACCTGAAAAAAGAAGGGGAAAACAGATTTTGCAAATTTTATTGGTTACCAATGTGTATTTGTTTATGACATGTAAACAGGGATTTGGTTGTCCCCATGATCACTCTAAGGATTTTCTGTTTTCTCCCAATTAAAAAAAATAAAAAAAGATCAGATGGAATGATGGGTGTGGGAGTGGGCACTGAAGATTAAAATAAATGAAAAAAAAATAAAGAAAAAGAAAACAAGGGATGTCTTGGTTGTGAATTTCTTGGTCTACACCCTCATGTGGAAAATACTTTTCACTGGAAATTGAAGGAAGGAATCTATCTATGACAGTTGGACTAACATTTTTTAATGTGGGAACATGTTTGGAAGGTAGATTAAGATAGTCATGAACCATAAGTTGTGTGGGAGGATTTGGGTGGAGATCTTACTTCTTTGTATAGATGAGTGAGTAGTTCATCTGACAGATGAAACAGGTTGCTGAATCTGCCTTTGTTCCTCTTGAAAAAATTCCCTACCCATATGCAGGTTAAACTCTAGGGTTTGTTATTTAGGCATACTGTGGTACTTGGAATTTTTAAATGCATATTGGGAGATGAATTTGGTTAAGCCTAGCATAGAACATTGCATTGACTAGTGATGGTAGATCTGGCTTACTTCATTTCAGTATGATGGTACTGAACTTTATTCTGTTTGAACCTATCAGTTTTGATTTATCATATATAAACTTCTGTAGAAACCTTTTACCTTACGTCTGGTTGGTTTCTTTTGGTTGTTACAGGTAGTACAGCAGAATACTGGAAGAGACAAGATGCTGCACAAGCCATTGCATTAGTTGGGTTCCTTTCATAACGCCAAGTATTTTGAGTGTTGATGTGTGGTGTTTAACTAAATTTCTTTTCTCTGTCTTTGGGGAACTATTGGATTTCTCTGTCATAACAATATGAGCATTTGTTTAGATGTTTCCATCTATGTTCTTAACAGGGACAAAAATTGGCATAAACTGTGTACTTGCCCATATTAAAACTGTGTGTATTTATCATTATTTGTGTCTCTGTGTTTTACTGTTTTCACTCCACATCCCCTTTTGTAGAGAGAGAGAGAGAAGCAAGGATAATTTCAAAGAGGAGAGAAGGAAAAGAAATTGTGAATGATATCAACTTTTCTTGCTTCTGTAGTTTTGTTTACTTGACTGATAATTTTATATAAAAACAAGCCCATAAGAAGCTGCAGTATTTTTCGAAGTTCTAATCATTTTGTTAACAAACTTTTTGTTGGTGGTGCTTGAAGCTAGTATGGGAAGGACTTGGGCTTGGGGGATGTGGCGCTGTAGGAAATTGGAACAGGTATGCTAAATATAACCAAGTTTTTCAGTGGAACTTTTTAAGAGGCTTTTTCTGAATAAATTATTTAATGTCAGAGAAGATGTTTGATTTTCTTCCTTTATCATTGATGTACAACTCGATTATTTTAGATATAATATTTGAAATTGCTCCTGTTTCAAGGAAAACTCAAAGAGGATTTTCTGAAACCATACAATTTTTTTTTCCCAGAAGAACATATACCTACATTCTGCTTGGGTGGTGCTGGGTGGCAGTGGTCCGGATTCTAATAATCAGGATATTTAATGTCTGGGATAGAATTTGAGACAAAAATGCACACTTTCATTTCTTTTCAGTTTTTCCTGCCTGTCTAAACATGTAGATACCTATAAGCTCTTTTTTTTCTTTCTTTCTTTTTTTAATTATTTTGGTCTAGACAAACAAATGTTTAAGGTAAAATGTTACCGTACAGTTTGGCCAATATGATTATAAGCTTCTAAAATCAAATAGTAGAACTATATGACAAGCCTCAATTGTCAGGCTATCCCATGTCCCTGTCAAGCAAATAGTTTCTATACTAGCTTCCTTTAGGTAAAGTTTAAATTTGTTATCTAAATTCTAATTTACCCCTCCCCACCCCATTTTTATTCCTTGTGTGCACGGGGGAAGTTCATACTTTAAATACTTGAGTACTTATTTTCTAATGAAGCAGGAGTAGTGACAGAAATAAAGTGCTTCTGGGAATAGGTGGTGGACATTATGCACCTAGACATATGGATGTTGTTCTGTAAGTTCTTATTCTGTTACACTTTTTCTTCTCTCCATAGTTTTTCTTGAAAATCTGATTTCTGTGCCAACTGTACCTAAAACCATTTTATTGGTCTCTAGAAGTTACTTGTGATTGGCGTGAATGTGATTGGGTACAAGTTACAACAATTGTTATTTTTTTTTATAGATTACAGCAATTATTAGTTTGATATTGGGTCCTATACTTCTGAACTCGGACACATAAGTTTTCTTTTATATTAGCATATACAAGAGGAGCCATGTTTTTTTGCATTTTATTTGAATGCTAATATTTTCTCTTTAGTTTATAATCCCTTTTCTTGGGGAAGAATAAGGACAACCTTAGGAATTTGAAGTAGGAAAGCTCGGTTTAATAGTATAATGTTATAGGGATTTCCATGCAACACATTATTACAAAAACTTGCCTTATTTATAGATAAAAAAATGATAGCTGTAGAGCTACATGTATCTCCAGCCTCTAGTTTTTTATTTCTTTTTTTTTATTTTTTGAAACCCTTTATCTAGTTTCTGGTTTGTTTTATTTGATATGCTCTCTCATCTAGATTGCCTTCTTTGCCTAGGAACCAATCCAAACAGGTTTTTTGATCCTATCCTAACAAGGAGCTTAGAGACCAAACCAGGCCTTTTTGCCTAGCACATATCTGTGCTTGTGCATGCCATGTACTCCTTTTGGGTGAGTGTGTTCCTTTCATTCTTCTGCTAATAAAGGTTCTTTTGCAAATATTTTCAGAAAAGATGGTGTTTGGGTGGGCCACCTTCTTTCTGGATATTCCTTGCCAATGGAAGATCCGGGCCAATCAAAAGTAGACACAAATGTGAAAGACATTGGTGGAACGTGGAAGCAGTCAATTAGAGTAGCATTTGAAGCCACCCAATCAGCTTTTCCAGGTGGAGAAGTTCTTGCACATCTGGATCACAAGTAAGTTATCAAGGAATAAGGATTTGACAAATGAAGGTTGATTATTTTATCATAATCAGCCCAAAAATATCTTAATGGCATATTCATTCCAATAATGTACAGTCAGTGCGTAATCGTTCCCATGTGACTAAGGTCCCCAAGTCAAGGGTGCAGATACAATTATATAGTTGTTAGAAGTTCAATTCAAGATGCATAAATTCCTGACTAGAGATTGGGGCAAAGGATATATGGAATTAAGATAAAATAATGGAAAGGGAAGATATCAGTAAAGAAGCTGTCCATTCTGTATCTGGTACCCATAAAAGTAGCATATCCATAGCTACATGCTTTCAGTTGTCTTGCCTGACAAATTCTTCAGGCATCATATTTTAGTGCTTGACTTGGTTATTTTTGGTAAGTTGGACCTTACTTGGTTGCCTTTAATGTGTAATGTTACACAGTAAAATGGTCAGCTTTTGTTCCTTTGCTGTTTGCTTGGAAGAAGAAAAAAAATGTGCAAAATCTTTCTCCTTCTCACCCTATGTTATGAACAGAATAAAAATGAACTTAAGGCTGCTGCTACCATGCTTTTAATGTTGGTCAGAGGTGTCCTAGAAGCTCTTGGAATTGTGAAGGAGTAACTGTTCAGATGGGTGTACAACCAGATAGAAAAATGTGGTGATGGGTGAAAATTGCTGGAAAGAATAGTATATTCTCTGAAATTTGCACATACATTGTTTCAGGTCAATGTTGCAGATGACAAATCTAAGGGACAATATTGCTGCTCTAGCTGCATAGAACCTAGAGGAATGCTAGCCACACAGGTTGGTCAAAACCATATTTGAATATGGTGCTTTTCTTGAAGACCAGGGATCCCATGCATCATGTGGGACTCAGTCTGTTATAAGTTTTTCTTTCAAACACTGGGTTCCTCATGAAGCATGAGATTTATGGTGATCTAGATACCATGTTTAAAGATGGTTTAACCAACCATTATCACATGGGGGAGGAAAGGAATCAACGGACCTTTCATGGGAAAGAAAGAAATAAGGGTGTAATCATTGAACTGATTTCTATAAGGGTGATCCATTGGGTTAAAACTTTGCAAAGTTTTGAAAATTATTCAGGAGACATCATCAGGAAGTGAAAAGAAGTGGCTTGGTCAGCTCCAAGAAAGAATGTATCCCACCCAATTTGGTCCCCTCCAGTTTCAGGTTTCACTAAACTAAACTTTGGTGGTAGTAGTGAAGGAAATCTAGGTCTGTCGGATATAGGGGGAGCCTTCAGGGATGATGAAGGTCGGATTATTGCATTGTATTCTGGTTCTATTGGATGGGGGGACTCTCTTAGAGCTGAAATATTGGCTGTCTTGGAAGGGTTAAAAAGAGCTCAAGAGTTAAATATCAGAAAATTGATAGTGGAAGGTGACTCTAAGTTGGCTATAAATTGGTTGATGAAGGATACTTCTAGTCTGTGGAAGTTTCTGAATGAAAAAAAGAAAGTTAGACATCTCATCCAAAATATGGAAGTCAAGTTTCAATGGTTAAAGAGGTGCGCCAACTCCTTGGCAGATTCATTGGCCAAACAAGGGGTGGGAATAGTTAATTTCTTCGGGGCAACATTGTAATCTGAATTGCTTTCTTGGGAGGGCTAAGAATTTTTACCCCTCCTTTTGTACCTTTTCTATTATTATCTTTTAATAAAAGTTTCTGTTATTTATCAAAAAAAAAAAAAACCATTATCACACGGGAGCCTAAATGCATTTGAAAAGTAATGCTAACTGAATTGTTTCGTTGCTAATTGGCTATTAAACTTCTAATTTTTTGCATTTTATTGGATTATGTTTCAATGTTCATTTAGGGTCAAAGAGCATATTATGTATACCAATTATAACTGCCTGTAGCTATTTAGTTACACACATGTGCACATTCAGACACAGGGAGTGGTTCATGGATGTTCACATGTGCATCATTTTATAGAACCACTTGGTCCTCAGATTCATGTCTGACAGTCTGAATTTGTTTTTAGCTTTTTTCTTTTTTTTTTTTAATCTGTTTGGTATTAGCTTGGACTACCTGAATTTCATACACGGAAGCAAGTCAGTAACCAGGCTTTTGTTTTAATTTTTATTGCAGGAGTTTTAAGGGCTGGCAGAAAAGTGCTATTATGGGTTTCCTTGCTAAACAGAATATTCGTGTTGGCAAACCAGAAGACTTCTGATTATCTTTTGAGCGTTACTGATGATTGACTGCTGCTTATCATATTCTGCTATTTAATTATTTTGGGGTGGATGGAGGTGAAATGCACTTATCCAAGTTAATTGCAGTTATAATTTTTTACTTCGTAAAATATTTTTTAGTCTTGTAGGAGGGCACACTGCCTATGTTATAGTTTTCTTTCCAGAGAGATTCTTATGTACCAAATTTTGAGTTGCAGAGAAATCTACACATTATATTTCATTATTTCTAGGATAAACCAACCCAAAATAAGCGATTCATTACTTGTGAAACCCATGCAACAACTAGGACGAACAGAGCAGTTCCAAATTGTCTCTGAAGAAATGGTTTTTCCATGATATGTTGGATGTGGTTGGACCAACCAAACCAGACTTGTAGCAGATGTGTGCAGGTGCAGCCAAGTTCTTACTAATGCAGTCGGAGTCGACTATATGGGATTGTTGTTTCTTCCCGAGTCAGAGCCTGTAGCAATAGGATTATAGGAATATTTTCAATTGAATTTCAAGCCTCTTTTAAGGTTTAGCAATGACTGGCCAATCTGTACACCCAATCACAGCCATTTCTATTTTCAAGAAACAAGAAACAAACTACTCTTTACAGGATGAGGCTGGATGGTGGCTAACGTCTTGTTTGTCCCACCTAGATATCTCCTATTCCAAAATTGCTAATCAGATCTCAGATGTTTATTAATCCCACCGTCTATTCTTGAAGAATGAAAGAGGAAACGGAGAAACAAGCACTATGAGTTAGTTCAACTTCTAGCATAGATTTCAAAGCTCTTACACTTTAGCTCTTGATTCAAAGCTTGCCACTTGTGCAGATTAGGTGAAAGACTCAACTTCTCTGAAATTTCTCGCTAATGGAGGAGAATAAGAAGCTTCTGATAGACCGAGAAATACTTACTGATGTTGATGGTTGTGCTTGTGTGCTTGTGCATAATATTAGAAAAGAAAGTCATCTATTCAGTTTTATTTTCAAGTTAAGCCAAACATATGGAAAATTATCCTAAGGGTCTGTTTGCTTTGTGGGATTGGGGTCTGGAATTGGAAATGGATTCTAACTGTTTGGTTGGGTGAAATCGAAATCCCAATACTATTTCTGGTGGGATGGCATTCCTCCCCCCACACCACCCCACCCACCTAGAATCCATTCAACCAATTCTGGTTCCAGTCTGAATCAAACAGTTGAGGGGATTAGACCATTCTGATTCCGATTCTGATTATAAATCAAATGGATCCTAAATTCTTAATCAAGTATCATCATTTTGTTTTACATGCAAACAAACAAAACTTGATGCTAAAAATTCTCAGGGTCCGTTTGGTTTGTAGTCAGAATCAGAATCAAAATACTTTGGAATCAGATTTGGTTCAGACAGGAATGGAAATGAGAATTGGAATCAGTAAGAATGAGATTTCATTCTCGAGAGAGGCAAGGAATGGCCATTCCCTCAAATGGGGGAATGCCATCCCAACAGGAATGGGAATGGGATTCTGGTTCTGCCCAATAAAAAAATTGGAATTGAAATAGCCTATTCCAATTCCGATTTCATACCCTTATTCCTGCAAACCAAACGGGACCTCAGTGTTGTAATGGCCTACCAAGCATTTACAGCAATTTCTGATTTTTATTATTCAATTTTGTGGTTCCTACTTCCTATGCCAGCATTCCTCGTCAATAAGGGTGGCTATTCAGTATGGGGGAAGCTTCTCCAACTTTCCCTTCTATGGTTCTCTTGTTCTCTACACAGCCTAATTTTCTAACATCTCAAATCATATTGCCTCTCATAGGAAATTGGAAACATACCACCGAGGCTTTTCAGTCTCGCCCCCTAACCCTGAACGTATTGTCAGACCCAGATAGGATCAAATGTAAAATAGGTTCACTGGGTTACTGGTTTTATGCGTTAATCTTAAAATTCGGTTTTAACTGAAAAATCAAACCAAAAATTTCAGTTTTCCATTTTAAAGTTTAATTTTTCTTTTTTATTTATTCAGTTTGATTTTTAATCGAATAAACCGATTGCTCACTCACCAGGTATTTGTTGTTCTCCAATCCCTAAAAGTTTTTCTTAAATGACCAGATTAATGGTACCACTGTCCTAGATGATCCGAATCTGATCCTGACACTAGCATTGATACTTCTTAAATTGAACCGTAACCCGCTGGATCCCGGTCTTGGACTCTTCATCTGACCCATTACTACACCAACCATAAATTTAACTTGCAATCACAACCCGACGCAGTGCCCATTTGGGAGTACTTTTGGGAAGTGGCTTCTGATGTTATACGTGGAGTTTTTCTATTCTGAGATTTGCAGCCGCGCATTGATGATATCTTCATATTTATATATTTTTATTTATAAGGAGATATTCCGAATGCACAGCTGAAAAGGGGCTATGAAAGACGGTGTGAAGACGATGTTGTGAGGATCAAATCCGAATTCTACAGATTACAACTCTGTCATCATAATTCACCTTTGACACAGAAGCCGGTACCAAACGGGCTTCCAAATTGATTGGGTTCCCGACCTCTTGGGAAGGTTCAGTGGTGATTCATTAGTCATGCCTCTGGCTCATGCCACATGCATGGAAAATACGTTCCATTCGTATTTGACAAATGACAGACAACAAGCAAATTCAAGTCTTCGACTCTGAGCTCTGGTAAGTCTTTCTTGAACTTGAAGCAAGGGGTACGTGTAGTGTAACGGGAGGTAGTCTTCCTATTGAGAGAGTCATTGTAGGAAGGCCTAGGTCAAAGTTTTACTTTATATATAAACCACCCATCTACAAGCCTGGATGATCATCCCAAGTCCCAACCCCAACAGAGGGAAGCTCTAAACTCTAAGTCCCACCCAACGACATGGCAAAGAGCTGCAGCACTTCGCCCACTTCAACAAATCTTGTGTTGCTTATTTTGGTTGCAGCTCTATGGCCCCTCAGCACCACTACTGAAGCCTTGAAACCCAGGATCACAAACATTCAATTCTACATGCACGACATCGTTGGAGGCCCCAACCCAACTGCCGTTCAGGTGGCCGGCCGGCTATCCAATATCACGAGCTCTGACCCAATTGCATCCTCGTTTGGGTCAATTTTCGTGATGGACAATCCACTCACAGCCACACCCGATATAAATTCAACCCTCATGGGGCGTGCTCAGGGGCTCTATGCCATGTCTTCGCAACAGAACGAGTTCAGCCTTCTGATGACTCTCACCTATGCATTTGTCAGCGGACCATACAATGGTAGTTCCTTCAGCGTGGTGGGTCGGAACCCGGTCATGAATGAAGTAAGAGAGATGCCAATCGTCGGAGGCACAGGAATTTTTCGGCTTGCACGCGGGTATTGCTTGGCAAAGACGCACTCAATGGCGGGATTTGATGCAGTAATCGGATATAATGCGACCCTGATACATTAATTAATGGAGCTCCTATGTTTGTATCTACATGATTAGCATTCACAACTTCACATCTTGGGAAGAACAAGGTCTGGTTTATCGGTCTTTACGTTGTTTGTAGATTGATCAAAAGCTTGAAATGTTCAGTCTGTCTAGCAAAACAAGTATTTCCATCCAACAATAGTTTGTTCTCTCCATATTTTATCAAACGTTTTATCTTGGTGTTAAGGAAATACAGTTGAAACAAAATTTGTCCGGTTTTCTATGTTTGAACAATTAACACTGATAACACTTGACTGCGCATGACCGCTGACACTGGATTATCAGTTCCTTCTAAACCCAGTCTTTTCGAACGGATCTCAGATAAGAGAGACCTTGCAAAAGTTTAAGCCTATAAGCTCCTATACTTAATTGCCCCTTAATATGACCCAAAGGATGATGGACACCAGATATGGTTCATGGCTAGAGGACCAAATATACTAATTGTTCTCTTTGAATTCTGGCAATAAAAGACATTAACGAGACAAGAAAGTTCATTGTTGGATAAACAATTTTGAACAACGTGACAGTAATTGTCAGTCTGTCACACGATATCCATCTCCATGGTATCATATCTAAATGGTCTACAGGACATGCACTTCAGGAGCTCTGCACAGATCAAAGCTCTTACTTGCATCAACATTCTGATCATTGGTTTTGAATATAAAAGATTGAAGACATAACCTTGCTTTTGCTGCAATAGCAATAGATTCCTCGTCTTGTTTTTCTTTTGCAGCAGAAATAGCTGCAATGTATGCCTCCCTCGCTTCCTCCATTTTCTCCATCTCCATGTCATCCATATTATCCTGTTCATACCAAAGCAAATATATCAGTCAATAATTAAATATCATCACATTGAAGACATGTACAAGCTGGCTTTGATTGATTCTTTTATCGCTTTAACTACGCAATGGTAACTTGGGCTCCCTGGATTGAAGACATGTACAATCTTGGGCTTCTCACAGCCTAAAACCTAGAGTTTTGCTTTGAGCCACGTGGCCCAAGACTCTTACTCTAACACCCCCCCCCCTCCTCAAGTTGGTGCACAAGAAAGGACTGAGACGCTCAACTTGGACAAGAGTGCGTGAAATTTTTCACATGAAAGTGCCTTTGTTAGGAGATCAGCAGGCTGATTGACTAGGCAAATGATGGATCTCCAGAGCACCACTTTGAATTTGTTCACAGATAAAATAGCAATTAATGTCTATATGTTTAATCTGCTCATAGAAAACGGGATTGGCGGCAATGTGTATAGCTGCTTTACTGTCACAGTGCAATTGCATTGGAGATGATAGCTGAACAGTGAGATCAGCTAGAAGACAACGGAGCCAGACTAATTCAGCTGTAACAGATGCCATTGCGCGGTACTCAGCTTCAGCAGAGGAGCGGGAGACTGTTGGCTGTTTTTTTGTCTTCCATGAGATGGGCGAGGAACCCAGCAAGGTGATGTACCCAGTAGGGGATCATCTAGTTATCAGGCAACTGGCCCAATCTGAGTCATTGTAGCCATGAAGAACAGTATCAGTGTGAGCTGAAAGGAAGATGCCATGCTTCTGAGTTCCTTTAAGGTATTTGACCACCCGAAGTGCAGCATCAAGATGTTCTTGGTTGGGCTGATGCATATGCTGACTTAGGGTATTAACGGCAAAAGATATGTCAGGCCTAGTGACAGTGAGGTATACTAGTTGCCCAACTAGGTGCCGGAAGCATGATGGATCATCCAGAATGGGACTGGAAGTGTCATTAAAATGACGTTGAACTTCTATAGGAGTGGATGATGGCTTACAATCTTGGAGACCAGCATCAAGTAAGATGTCCAAGATGTATTTATGTTGACTAATAAATATGCCATCATGAGATTGGTCAATCTCCAAGCCCAAAAAATACTTGGGAGGCCCAAGATCTTTGATGTGGAACTTGTCATTGATGAATTGTTTGAGCTGTGAAATACGAGAATGATCATTGCCAGCAAGTAGATCAACATAAACCAGGGCTGTGACAAAGGAGCCACCATTTGTGGATGTAAAGAGGGAGTAATCACTAATCACTGCGAGATTGTTGGAAGCCCAGTGAAAGAAGAGCCCGCTGAAATTTCTCAAACCACATGTGAGAGGCTTGTTTGAACCCATAAAGGGATTTCTGGAGTTTGCAAACTCTATTATCACCATCTTTGGCAAAGCCTTGAGGGATGGCCATATACACTTCCTCATGGAGATCTCCATGTAAGAATGCATTATTAACATCGAATTGATGAAGTTCCCGTTTTTTAATGGCAGCTACAGCAAATAGACATCGAACAGTTGATAATTTTGCAACTAGCACAAAGGTATCATGATAGTCCAAACCTTCAACTTGGGTGTATCCTTTGGCTACCAAACAAGCTTTGAACTGATCAACTGAACCATCGACTTTGTATTTAATTTTGTACACCCACTTGGATCCAATGGCTCGTTTTCCGGGTGGTAAATCAATAAGAGTCTAAGTATTGTTATTTTCAAGAACAGAAATCTCATCAGCCATAACCTTCCGCCATCGCAGATCAGCATTGGCCTGAGTGAAGGTGGTGGGTTCTGATTCTAAATATGAGGTGCTGGCTGAGTTGGATTGGGGGGCTAAGGAAGGTGGGAGATCACAAACGAAATCTTGGAGGTGAGAGGGGGTTTTAAGTGTTCTTTTGTGTCGGCCAAATGGGCCTGGAATGGTGGGCCTGGCTGTGCTTAGCTCATCAACAAGGCATTCAGTAGGCATGGGTGTAGAGGTGTTGTGGGGTATTGGTGGAATGGATGCAACTGTAGTTGGGTCTTGTGCTGGTGGATGAAATTCAGGGGAAGTTGGTGGTGTAGTGAAGTCATCAAATGTTGGGTTTGTAGGGGGAAAGAGTCTTAGTGTTGGTGGAGATTGGTCAGCATTAGATTGCTGATTTGAGTAAGAGAATTGGGATTCTTAGAAGGTGACATCTCGGCTTGTAAATAATTGGTTGGTGTCAAGGTTATAAAGCCGATATCCTTTTTCGCCATAAGAGTAGCCCACAAAAACACATCTAATGGCTCTGCTAGCAAATTTGTCACATGGTTTGGGTCGCACTTGGGCATAACAGAGGCAGCCAAACACTTTCATGTGGTCATAAGATGGTGGGGTGCGAAATAACATTCCATAGGGTGATTTTCCAAATAGAAATGTGGGTAGTCGGTTGATAATGTAAACTGTTGTTTGTAGGCACTCACCCCAGAATGAGATTGGCAATTTGAGCATGAAACCGGATTGCCCCGGACACTTCCAACAAATACCAATGTTTTCTCTCAGCCACGTTGTTCTGCTGGGGCGTGTCTACACAACTACGCTAATGTTCAATGCCCTATGCAATGAAGTAATTTTAAAGAGGGCAAGCATAAAACTTTGCTCAGGAGGGATAGAAGTCAGTTGATCTTTTGGACTATCAGAGTGGGAAGTAAAGGAGTGCTACTGGTTGATGCTTCGATGGCTTTGAAAGTTGCAGAAGAGTTGGATCACTAATTATTGCCCCGTCAATTTGATCGGGATTTATCCCATCCAAGTGGATACCCCACTAGTTGGTAGCACCGATCTCTTGTATGTCCACTGCGTTTACAATGTTCGCAATAATATTTGGAACGACCAGTTGTTGAGGACCGAGATGGGGGCTTGGCTGAAGCATTCATGGCTGCAACTTCCAGTGCTGGTCCCTGCATCGCCAAGATTGTCTACTGTCATTCTTCCTAGAGGACAAGGGCACATGCTTTATTTAACATCGGAAGCAAGGTTTAAAGTATCGGAAATGCCAGGTGTATCGGAAAGGTAATTTTAAGAGACGTATCGAGATACGCCTTGGATACGCATGCGTATTGGAGAAAAACTAAAACACGTATAGATACGCTTTGAAACACTATAAATACTTTAATAAATCATAAATATACATAACGACACTAAATATAAGACCTAAATGAGGTGTATATACATTAAATTAATATATTTTAATGGTTTTATGAAGAAATATATTGTAGTTAATTATTATTTCATTAAAAATCCTATACTTAACTATAATTTTTAAATTATAATTCTTAAGTTTTAATGTTTAATGGGATGGGAAAAAACCAACTCTCTTATCCAATCATAAAATATGCATTAACACAACTTCTAAGTGAAGATATACTTAATAATTATTTATTATTTGTTTTCAAAAAATATAAAAATAAATAAATAAACATTATATAATATATTCAAAAAATAGTTGTTAAAAAAGAAATTTCAATTGCCTTGTGGAATATAAGGTAGATCATCCATAGAATTATAATATATTCAATCATTGTGATCAAATGATAAAATATAATTAATTAATTAATTATTTTTTTAATTCTATAAATATAAAAATAAAAATATTAAAGAAGAAATTTCAATTGGTGTGATCAAACAATAAAATATAATTATTTATTATTTATTTTTATTCTAAAAATATAAAAAATCAAAAAAATATTAAAGAAGAACTTTCAATTGCTGTATGGATATGATAGATAAATCTATAGATCTAAAACATATTTAGTCTTTATATGCAGAGAAAAAATTATATTTTCACTTTTTTTTGTTAATTTATGTTTTCCCCAAATATCTCATGAAATTTCCATAAATCTACAGATGACAAAAAAATGTGATTTTAGATGTAAGAAATGTAGATTAACATAAATTTATACATTCAAGAAAAAAGAAATCATAAGATATTATAAAAAATTGAAAAAAAAAATTACCTATTTTTTACCATATTTTTTCAAAATCTTTAAAAAAATAAAGATTCACATTTGTTTCTTGCAAAATTTTGCAAATCTAGCACTCTAGGAATGAGGTTTGGAGTTTTAGAGTCATTTGGGGGTGAAAGAATGTTACTTTTCACCTTTATTTTTTTTGGTTTTTGGCCGTATCTTTTTTGTCGATACTCTACCGATACACCTCCGATACGCCCCCAATACGGGTCCGATACACATGAAAAAAGACGATACACACGATTTCCATGCATATCCCGTATCTATTTTTAAAAGATACGATACGATACGCCCCATATCGAGCGTATCGTATTAAAATTTTAAACCTTGATCGGAAGTGATTATGATCCGAATATGCTTGATCGAATGACATTATAGGACTCATTCAGTCCTATCAAGAACAGGTGTAAATGTTCCTTTTCCCGTTCAATGCCAAAGAGTCTTGCTATGCCACCACAGGAACATTCAGGCAAATCGGTTAAGCTGGCTAGCTCATCCCAGACCATTTTTAGTTTGGTGAAATACACATAAACGCCTAATTCTCCTTGTCGAAGAAGTAAGGCCAAATCATTCTTCAGTTGATTTATGCAAGGAGAATTCCTCTGAGAAAACTATTCTTGGAACTCAGACCATATTTCCAATGTAGATTCGATGAGGGCAACGCTTCCATACAGTTCTATGGAGAGGGAATTGAAAATCCAAGATGCCACCATCACATTGCATTTGGACCAGGCATTTTCTTCTAGTGAAGCGATGGGTGGTCGGGGCAACAATCCATCAACGAAACAAAGCTTGTTCTTTGCACAAAGTGTCGTTCTCATCGCTTGATGCCATACCGGATAATTTTCTCCAGTGAGTAGGCATGAGACCAGTACGAGCCCTTGGTTGCCTAGCACATGCAGGAAGTATGGTGAACTGGGATCCAAGATCTGCGACATGGACGAGCTTCCACTGGTTCCAGGCGCCATGAAAGAGTTTGAGTCTTGGATCAAACTTCGGTTACCCACTCTGATACCATGTAAAATGATATAAAAAACGAAAAGAATTTGTGTCTTGTTTCATTGCTTTCACATGTATTTATAGATACAGGTGGTGAATAATTGAGTGCGAACAAGTTTGTTACAGAGTAACTAATTCTTGCAAGTGGGCCACATGGCCCAAGACTCTTATTCTAACAATTGTTGGGTGAGAACAAGTTAAGCCCATCCATGTTAGTGCTTTAAAGAAGGCCAACTTATTGTTGTTTTCTATTGGTGGTTTTACTATTGGTGGTTTTACTAGACTTGAAAAGGCCAACTTATTGTTGTTTTAACTTAGTTCTCTTATTCTTACTTTGCCATTCTATTTGATTTGATTGCCAAAACAACTTAAGTTTTGTGGGTTTTACATAATGATATTCATATAAATTGTCTACAAAGGAAATCTCTTACTGACATTTTTTTTATTTCTTTATATGAAAAATATAGCTGTTGTAAATTACTTATTAAACTCCTTCAATTATTTCACCAACAACTTTACACAAAAAGGTGATCTTTTGCGGGTGTTTGAGGAGTTTTTCAGGAGAGGAATTGTCAATCCGGGTGTGAACTCTACATTTATAGCCTTAATTCCAAAAAAGAAAGATGCATCCCACCCGAAGGATTTTAGGCCAATTAACTTGGTTAATAGCTTGTATAAGATCATTGCAAAAGTGTTGTCTTTGAAGCTAAAGAAGGTATTGCCAGATATCATTGCACACTATCAATGAGCTTTTGTGAGTGGAAGACAAATTACTGATCAGATTTTAATTGCTAATGAAAGTGTGGAGAACTTTAAGAGGGATAAGAAGAAGGGAGTGGTCTGTAAGTTGGACTTGGAAAAGGGACAGTGTAGTGGATCATGGGTTGGGAGGGTGTGATGCATCTTTGTGGTGGACTGGGATTTATTGAGGAAAGTTTTGACTAAATTTTGTTTTGGGGCTAGATGGTGTAAGTGGATCATGGGTTGTGTCCGAAATTGTCATTATTCAGTGCTAGTGAATGGGACAGTGTAGATTTCTTACCAGCCAGTAGGGGTATAAGACAAGGAGACCCCCTTTCTCCTTTCTTGTTCATTCTAATTGCGGAGGTTTTGGAGAAACTGATTCACAGAGCAGATTCTAGGGGGCTCATTAAAGGCTAGAGAGTTGGGAGGGTGGAAACCCCCCTCACTCACTTACAATTTTCTAATGACACGATTCTGTTTTGTGAAGGCGGTAATGTGAGCTTTATCAGGAACTTGAAGTCGGTGATACAACTGTTTGAGCAAATGTCCAACTTGAAGGTTAACCTTGGGAAAAGTTGTGTAGTGGGAGTGAAT